ATTGTATGACTAGAGTGATTGGGACATCAAATGGGACAATCTTTGCTGGGAGGAGGAAGAACAGTGACAGTGGAGAATGAAGTTGAAAATATTTTGGGATTTAGTAGCATGGCAGAGCCCGAGAGGTGGGTTTTGAGGTCTACATACTTCAGGTATTTTCGGAGAGGACAGACTGAGAAGCCATCGGAGGGGGATTTCCTTGTGATGAGAACAAAGAAGGTGAAACTGGCAGAGCATGATAAGTTGTTGAAGAAGTTTAGGCATAAGGAGGCATTGGTATCGGCATTGGGCGGGAAGAATCCGGAGAATGTGGTTGCAGTTAGGAAGGAATTGGTAGCGTGGAAGAAGTTAAAGAAATGTGTTTGGAATTTGCATTCTGAGGGGCTTGGTTTGCTGTTGAAGTTCTTGCAAAAGCACACGACAATGCCGAGGTACCCTAGTTTGTTAATGGGGTTGATAGAGGAGGTTGTTGAGATGATGAGGGCAGACAATATTAGAACTTCTGATGCCTTTAAGGGACAAATAAGAAACCTAAAATGGTCGGTTAATGAAGAATTAAGGATACGACAATCACTACAAGAGATACGGGGAATAATCGCTCCGTTGCTACAAATCCCTGGGAAGAGATAAATTTGTTACCTGCTTCAGAGATTTGTTATTTATATTTCTATTCAAACTTTGTTTTGTCTGATATTTGCTTTTGAGAATTCTTCTTCATGAGCGAAGCTCTACAGTTTTGTTCTAAAAGAAATTAATGTATGTTTTCAACTAGTGAGAGACATGTGAAGGAATTCACGTGAACATCCTGAGAAAATATGTTCTGCTTACCATTCAAACCAAGACAGTTGGGAGCTCTACAAGAATAAAGCTTTCTCTGATCTAGAATATCTATCGTATACAACATGCTAAGTGTTGATAAAAACTTATCATACAACTGACTGTAATATGAGCACTAGGAATGTGAGGCCATCACAAACTTTGGTTAAATAGCGAGACATGTTACAAGGAAACTCAGAACCAGTGAGGGAAATCGATGGAGACTATGCTACTCTGCTACATCCTACATTATCTGTTGACAATGTGTACAAGAAGCCGAAGTAATGTCAATTTTCACTAACTGAATGCCCGTGCCCCTGCACAATGGAAAATCAAAAACGTTACCAAAGGAAGCTTTATCACAGTTATTATTACATTTGGAATATTTCCCAGGTCAGAAGAAACCTGAGAGATGTAATTCAGAACTTCAGTCAAAAGTTCATGTTAAGACATCTAAAAGCAGATGCAAAGTAACGTAGCATACCACTCCACTACTTGCTAAGTTGCTATAAACCTGAAAATTTTCCTAAGGAAAACAGCAAGAAAAATCCTTTTATATGGTCCAAAATCTGGAAATAATTATCTGGTCTAAGCCACAACAAACAAGTTATCTTAGAATGATGATCAGATGGTGCAAGACATCAAGATATCTGATGTCTGCTCGGCAATAATTCAAAAGATGGCAAGTGTATTAATTCAGGCAAAAAGTTTTCACTTTGTCTTTGAGATGTTACAAAGAGATAGTTAGGTACTATATCCTGAAATTTCTAATGCACAAACTTCCTGAGGTACAACAATCTTTCCATTATTGTGGATGGTGTATTGTTCTCAAGACAAATATTGAATTTTACCAGCAATCAGAAATTTACAAAGGAGATGACAAACGTGTTTTAAAATCCAATTCAATGCATCTAGATTGCTAACTATCTCTTACATTAAAGCCATTTCTTAAAGAAATAACCAGCCTTCCAATCATGCCTAAAAAATTAACAGTTCATTTCATACCTGATGTTCTAGAAGCAGCCAAAGTATCTGTTGCCCTTCCAGAAACTCCCATCTGGGTTTGTCCTCTTGCAGCTCTCAATGACCTCAACTTTGCCGACTTGAGTGAATGTATCAAAGGAGCCTCTTCATCGTCATCCTCATCTTGTTTATCTGCTTCACCTTGAGCATCTTCATGGTCTGATCCGCTGATTGAATCCTCTTCACTTGAACTTTGCTCATCAAAGAGTCTCTTCCCTTCAATATTACGCCGCTTTCTTGGACGACCCCTGCGTCTCACAGCGGTTCCTTCTTTCTCATCTGCAATAATCTTACCTTCATCAACTCCAAATTTACAATTTAAAGGGTGGGATCCAATTCAAAGATGATATGATCCAGGAAACAAAAAGGAAAAGAGATGTTTGTTATAAAATATTAAAATAATAGTGTGATTGAACTGAATTTGAAAGTGAATGACAAAACTATATTAGCAAGGACAATGAGAGAAAGTATTGAGAGGAGATGCTGAAGCAAAACAAGTTTCAAATGGTGCAAGGGATCAAAGTGCTCAACAAACACCAAACACTAGATTCAGTAAAAGTTGAGTGCATCTGTACCTTGCAAACCTTCATTCCTTGCATACTTTTCTTGCAAACTATCATAAAAGGTCAAATATGGGCGCCACCCACTTGGGTCTTCATCTGTGTTCACATTCTCTGTCCGCTTCTGTACATCCATCAGACTGGATGAATAGCGATAAAAAAATTAAATGATGCCTTGATGGGTAGCTAGCATACAAGAGCAATGGATGGGACAAAACAAAATAAGAGTGCCATGTTTCTGGAATGAAATAGAATGCTTCTGCATGAGATCCAACATAAACTCTTACATGTCCCGGACATCAGTTGAAGGAAGTTTTGATGCAAATTGTACCACTGCAGTTTCCAGGAAAGACAGCTGTTTAGGAGGATCAACAAAAGCATATTCAATTCCTTCCTTGACAATCTTTAAAATATCTGGTCTGTGCTTGTTCCGAGCAGCACCCACAAACATTCCAGAAAGCCTAGCAGCCAGATCCTTACATTCCTGAAATGACTTGCCTTTAAATGATTCCTCATCATTTGTGGAGTCTTGCACAAGATAACGATGGTAAGCCTGGGAAATAAAAATTGGGTTAAAAACCAATATAACGATGATAATGACGATAACCTATATCTATATGCAACGCTGTTTGGCCTCCTGACAAGTTTCTCAGCTTCAAAGCTTAGCCTACAACTGAACTTAAAAACCAAAAAAGAAAAATGGTGAAAAAGATTCTTAAATATAGGAGTTGGAAAATAGGTTTGCTACTTGCTAGGTGGTTCATGGCTCTAAGAGGTCATTTAGTCAAGTTCTGTCCTCAGATTTTCATTACCTTGCACAATGTTATCCAAAGAAAATGTAAAAGAACATTAATCATGTCCAGAAAATAAGTCAAAGTGGACAACAAAACAATTATAATTAACCTATTGTCAGAAACACATATCAGCACATGGAAGCAGAATCAACAACTTGACCGAACTTTGCAAACAACAAAAATATGAGGCCTACCCTTTTCAATGCTTCTAGAAAAATTTCAGAGACACCGTCATCTTTCTTCTTTAGAACCGTGATAAGATGCTTAATGATCTCTGCCACACTAGTTCCATGCATCACAAAATGGGAAATAATTTCTGGAGCAAGATACTCCTGCAAGTGATATTAGCATCAAATAAGAAAAACCTTCAGTTCTTCAGATTAAAAGGGCAAAAGGATAGCAGAAAAGAAATAGTATATGCAAAGTGTAATACAGAATAATGATTAAAACACCAGAGTTAAAAAATGACTACACTGACCTTAGGAACCGTATCATTAGCAATCAACTTTGCAGCAGCAATCATGACAGCATCTCTATTTGTCTCCTCTACATACTCTTTGTTTATTTCATCATCTTCTGTCTCATCTGTGAACCATGCATGGCAAGAAGAAAACAGAACTTACAAAGAGCAATTCAGACTATAAACATAGATTTTGCATTTAAGCACCAAACTTTATCAGCTTGTGCCAAGACCTTCGAGAAATTACTAAACAAGAGGCATAAAGTATTGCTTTCACTTTATAACCCATGTGCTCAGATGATCAAACAAAGAACTGAGAGGAAAGAAAAGAAATCAGTCACCTGAAATATTGAGCTGCTGTTCACAAAGTACCCAGAACTTTTGAAGAACAGAGGAATCTGGACAGTATCCTAATCTTTCAAGCTTTGTTGAAGAAAAGTTTGTTATTCTAAACAAACACCAGAGATCTGCTAGTATAGTACAAACCTGAGTCACCACAAAGGCATCATTAGAATAACATATTATTGATGAGAAGATTGCTTTTGGTTGAACCTAATACATTAGTGTAGAGATGCTTACTCTGCAAGCCAACTGATTTCCAGTTTTACTCCCTTCTCCAACTTCAGGCAGGGTGTTAAGGAAGTACTTGAGTTCCCCCAACAAGGTATCACGTTTTGACAAAAGAGAAGATAAGGATGTTTCCGTTACAGTTTCACTGTTTATAATAGAATGAAGAGACCAGGCTACATGCAAGTACATATTTAAAAGCAAAAAACTGACAACCTGAATATAAAATAAGAAACATTGTCAGAAACAAATGCAAGGAAGGAGGATAGAACAAATGGACAATTCTCAGAGTTGAGTTAACACACCTCATCATCCAAGTTTCTGAGGCTATGCAGAATGGAGACAATATCGACATATAAGCTTTCAATAGATACAGGCCTTGACAATTGAAGCTCATATAACCTTTTTAAATTTACAAGAAGAGAATACTCATCCTCACCATTCTGCAAATCAAAAACTTGTAGTTTTATTTATTTGGCTCATGGGCCTACTTGGTAAACAAAACGCTTGCAGATTGGGGAAGACATACCATTACTTCTTTAATTGCAGATTTAAGCTTAGTAATAAGCTCATCTTCAAGATCCTTCAATTGACTGCGAGCAAAATCTTGTAACTCTCCCCGACTTTCAGCAGAACAGAACTTTATAGCCTTCACACAAGACCTCAGTGCATCCTTCTCACCATGTTTAAAAAATGCATCTTTGATGAGCTGAAGAACAGCTTTGAAATTCTGAAAGGAAACCCAAATCAGTAGTGCTATGAAACAAGGTTACAGTGTCTAAAAGCATACATTAAGAAGCAACATTATCACCAACCTGGTCTTGCCTCTTCAGAGAATACAGCTCAAGGTTCATATGCTGAATAATCTCAACTAAAGATGGAACTTTTGCCTTGTCAGCCATGAATTTTTGCAGAAGCAATGGATAATTCTTCATCATGGCAACAGTTACATCTCGACGGTTGTTTTCAAATATTTCCTGATATTTTTAAAAATACTCCAGATTTAGTCTCCTTGACATTGGAAGTGGCGACACAAAGCAAGGCACGTCACCAGAATAACTGGCCTCATGATCCAAGGTGGAATGAAGAATAAATCTAAGAAAATGGATACCTTTTGAGCTTTCGTGTAATACTGCTTTCGATTGTCTGAAGCAGGAACAATCCTCTCCCCAACAGCCTTTCTAACAGATGCAAAAAGAAGTCTAATCAAGTTGGTTGCATCATCATCAGTTAGCTCAATCAATGGATTCTGATCCAGAAGCATGGAGATGATACACTTCCAATCCTGGAAATTAAATAAAAATTGCCATCTTAAGTAGCATATAGAGCACTGTGTAAAGCTTTACCATATCATTTTGAACATCTTAGACTCTTCCTTGGTAGTTATGCAATTATTCCACTGCAGAATCTTCTGCAAGGATATTCTGGATTTATTGAAGTAGATAGAACTGTCACATGCCAGGCAATGTCAAAGTTTAGCAGAAGCCCCACAGTTAAATGTGAACTAGTTCCCCAACATGTGAGCTTACTTAGGGCAAGAGTAAGCATGAATCCTACACATCCTTCAAGTCTAACTTGGCTTTTCAACTAACACATAGTCATGAGTCATAACTTTGATATTTAAAGGGCAGCAAATGAAGCCAGAGCATTTATCATGCAAAGGTATGTATCATTCAGATTCAAATGCATTTTCACAGAGGCACACATACATGTAATACATCGGTGGGAAGCACAGAGGTCAATAAATTTAAAGAATACCAGGGCCATAATTTATAAATTATAAAACACCCTTGTTCTCTTTTCCCAAATCAAGACACAGTTTTAAAAATCTGGAAGTCATAAACATACCTTCATGGCCTTCATGTATTCCCAGACATCATCAATAACATAGACACTTAAAATTGGATCTGTTGAAAACTCCCGTAGTATCTGCAACATTCTGCCAAGATGGACCTCACTGCCATTGCCTGGAAAGAACAGCCATTAACAAAACCACATTAGATGACAAAGTTGCAGTTGCAGGTACAAATTGCATGGTGGAGTCCAAAGATGTAAAACCTTTTGTGCCAGATTGGGAGCTGTTAAATTTTTGAGCAATCAAGTGATCATATACTAATTCTCCAATGGCATGCCTGATTTCAGGCGGATCATCAATAAGTAGATCATACAAGGGACCCATGTCCTCATCAGGCAGAAGCTGATGTCTGCAAAGAGATCAAAAGACATGTAAAAAGACATGCATTTGCGTAAAAGTTAAGTGGTCTTAACCATGGAAAATAATAAAGAAGGGTTACCTAAGTAATTGTTTCACAAGCCCTATTGCAGACACAGCAACAGAAACATCAATATCATCAGCAAGCTCAATCATCCGGCTTGAAAATCTTTCAGTAAATAGACCAAGAGTTGGCACATTACTATCCACCTCATAGAGATTTTGCAATGCAAGAACAGAAGCTTTTCTCACACCAGCATTCTTCAGATGCAAAAGATGAAAAGAACCAAGTTAGGTTTATGTAGCCCACAATGGGACAGTATCAAGTTAAGTTACAAACACAATGAACAAAATCACCTTGTCATTTAGCGTCCATCCAAGATACTTTAAGTATAGATCCTGTAAGAACAAAGTAGGGTATGACAAAATCCAAACACCAAGTGACTGTATGCATGTCATCCGGATGGTAGGATCGATGTCTCGATAACGATGCACAAACAACCTCCAAAAGCAGAATGTAGGATGTATTAGAGGCATAAAAAACCAAAATTTCGTTGGCTAAACAAGAAGTTTAAATATTTGAATGCTTGTTACTTTAAAACTGTGTCAAGATATGAGATCCTACCCAGTAAATATTTTGCGCATCATCTCCTCTATTGCAATAATCTTGTCATGTGTCATTGATAACCTGTTATTCAGTGACTCCAAGCGAGGCCCCTCGGTTCTTTTCTTCTTTTCAGCATTTAACTGTCTCTGACTAGTATCTCGCTGCACAGCAAGCATCTTTGCCACAGAAATGAATGAAGTGACAAGTTGGAGACCCATCAGCGAAGCAACTTGACGGTATACTCTTGGAGGAGTGCTGTTTCGTGTAAACACCAGGCAAAACTACCCATAATGAGTTACTTCATAAATTAGCTAGGATGCAGAATTTTATGACAGTCATGAACTAACCACGAAAGTGCAATTATATAGTCCATGCACTTCTCGAACAATGGCCCATTTTGGCACTCATTAACCAAATTGTCCCAGAATGAAAGAAGATTCTCCTTGAAATTCTTGAATTCCTTCTTTTTTGAACTTAGATTATCTTCAATATGGCCCTGAAGTTCCACAGTAAAGCCAAAACTTTAAATAAATACCCTGTTACTATATTTGATCATTGAAGAAGTTAGTTGTGAATTTTACAGTAACAAGAAAAAATAAGGATGTGCTTTCAGAACTGGTATATATTTGAGAAGAGGAAACTAATTATATAAATCTTAAGCAGTAATAGATTGTTGTATTAATGTGTAATTAGTGAATCACCCAACTCCCCCATTCCCCCCAAACCCACACAAGCACAGAGACAATACGAGAGAATAAGGCATCTGCAGAATACATTTTTAGCAAGGTTGACAAGTGCAACCACAACATCATCAACATCAGTCTCATCCAGATACTCTTCCTTGATGTAAAATTTAGCCCCACATGCCTGGAGAATCAGAAAATATTAATTATCACTGACAAGGTTCTGGTATTCTCAATAAAATATATAATTGAAAACTCTGTACAATTTTCTGACTAAGACCGAATGTAAAAGGGTTACTTAAGACTTTTTAATTTTCAAAGTTCAAACCAGGTTCAATATCTTGCATTTTTCCATTTGGGTACATTTTTCCAGAATTACCTCAAACAGCATTGATAAGAGTTCAACCGTTGCAGGTTTTGGATCCTTTTCATATCGCTCAACCCAATGCTTGACAGATTGAGCAATATATTTGCCACCACCTCTGATGACCTCTGAATAAAATTACAGAGAGAGAAGAATAAACAACATAATCTACTCAATTTGCAAAGGCCTAAATCAGGTCAGTATGAAGATGTCCTTGATGAAACAATGCAAAACAACTTACCTAAGCAGGAAATAACATCACTTCAAAGTATCAACTTTGTAGCAAATGTCGTCTCAAAGTTGACAATTATCAGCCAATTAACATAAAAGTAAAACTTGATCATAAGCCTCAAACTCAAAATTAATACAATACAGTACAGAACTCTTATATAGGGAAAGATGCACAAACAGCACAACTATACACATTTCAAATTTACTCCCCAAGTAGTTTAAGGTTTTACTTAGGGGTTTTTGGGAGACCTAAACTAGGTAATAGTGAACTGAGAGAAAAGTCCCTAACAGATTCAAAATGTGTACATCCATCTTTAAATAAAATTTACTAGTGATTATTGCATGTAATCAGTTACACCATCAAATTCAATTTCACCTTTTTGAATCTCATATCATATGAAACTGGGAAGTGATCTCAGATTTTGAAAACTCCTAACATATTTAATCATATATTTTATTATATTAATGAGTCCAATTCTCAAAATTTCCAAGGTTCATCACTGACTTTACCGAACAAGAATAGTTAGTCACTTAGAAATTACCAAGATCAAACAAACATTGGTCAGTGGTAAAAGTAAGAGGCCCTGAGTTTGAGTCTCATGACATGCAGGCAGGGTGGGTTAAGAGATGAGAGAGGGTTGCCTCCCATTCTGCAACCCAAGATCAGACAAAAAATAGAAATAATAATCCAACAAACATCCATTTTCTAATTGAACAAACAAGTTCTCAATCAAGATTTCTAGCTAAGAGTTAGCATCTTCAATTGACATTTCCAATAACCCCATAAAAGTATACAACAGGAATCCAAGTAAATTACCAATCAAGCTTGCATCAGACTTGTATGCAGCACCCGAAGCACCTTCAGAAGCTTTATTTCGCTTAGCTTTGGGACGAATTTCTTCAAAATCATCCGGCGACCCTTCCCGCTCCACCTGATTCGGGCTCCCATCACTCGCATCACTGATTCTTCCTTGGTTCTCGTCACTATTACCAGTTCCCTTGCTAGGTTCATCTCCACCAGCCCGAGCTTGAGCCCTAGATCTTTTCTGCACACTCAATTTCACCAAAATCAGCACGAAATGACACACATAATAACTACGCACTTACGCCGTAGGTTAGTAGCTAAGGCCTTACCGGGCGGCCAACGGGGGTTTCTGAGGCTAGCGGAGCGTCGTCCATGGGCTAGGGTTTGAATTACAGGCGAATTAGGTCCCAAAACTCACAGAGAGTGTCCCTGAGAACTGGAAATTTGACCTAGACTAGACTGGAGAAGAAAGAGCCTTAAGGAAGATACATAACGCCGAAAGGGCAGTTAATTTTGGCGAGCTTCGATACACTGTTTACCGGATCACCGATAATATATTGTACGGGGTTTTTACGTAATTAAAATTTTGAAATATTATTTCCCTCCTTTGTGTATTTTCAGTGAAGGTAAAATTCCCAGTTGATTCTCAAATGATTTTTTTTTAAAAGAAAACTGGAAAATGGAGAGATAATTTAATATTAATCTTTTTTTAAAAAAAATTTAATTAATTTAGTGATAAATTTTTTTAGTGAAAATAAATGATTTTGAATTTGAATCAATAATTTATGTATGAGTATTTATATAAAAAACGAAAATGTAGAACCAATTATGTAATATAAGTTATATCATTAAATAACTTGATACATATGATATTATCAGTCTTAATAAAATAAAAAAAATCAATTATTAAATAACATAAAATGTATATTTTAATATTTTAAATGAAGTAACTTATATTATATTATTGATCACAAATTTAATATCATAGAATTTGTTCTTTTTATCATTCTTATTTATATTTTTACTCATATTAT